TACCAGGTTTATGTTTGATGTATCTAATTTCCTTAGTGTTTCCAAAGATGTGAGCATTTTTATTAAAAATATTCTCATAAAACTCTTTAGGTTTTTTTTAAAGGGTTTTTGAATTTAAGAAGCCAGTATAGGAAAAGGCAGTTGTTATAGAAAAGACTTCAGAGGAGAAAAATGGGTATTTATTATTTGGGTTTAGAAATTAAAAGCTAGAATTGTTTTTATAACAGGAAAAAAGTTTCTCTGTGTTAACCTTGATTTTTAAATTAGGGAGATGTAGGAATAGGCATTTGGCACAGTGATTAAGTCACTGTTTGGGGGGGCTCAAGCCGCATTTCAGAGTATCTGGTTCGAGTCCTGGCTCCTCTGCCTCCAACTAACTTTATACTAACGCAGAAATTAATTATTTCTTTCCTCCTAATAACTATGGGGTTTGGTTTGTTGTTATTTTTCCAGGACTTTGAGATGCACTGATAGCTCATTTATTTGATGCTTTTCCAATTTCTAGAATGCAGGTACCAATTGCTACAAACTTCCCTCTTAACACTGCTTTTGCTATGACCCATATGTTTTGAAATGTTGTATTGCCATCTTTTTTCATTTGCCAGAAATTTCTTATTTCCCTTTTGATTTCTTCTATGATCCATTGTTCCTTTTCAGGCATTTCATCAATCTCTTCACACTCTGATATTGAAGTGTTGTTGTGTTCCTTTGGGGGTGTCATATTGTCTTCCTTATTCTTTTTTCTTGAGTTTCCACATTTATTTTTAAGCATTTTTTTGAAATACTTGTTGTTTTTCTCTTCTGATGGATTTTATCTTTGAACTATGGCTCTGTGGCTTAGTGGAGTGTCTTCTCTTTCTGTGAATACCCAGAGGTGTAATGCTGGGTGTGGTTAGGGAGCTCTGGTCAGTGCTCCAGTATGGGGTGAGTATCCAGGGTGACACCCAAGTTGGGTATGGTAAATCCTTACTTGTCAGCAGGGAAGAGGGTATGATTACTTCTGTTGGCATAATCCCACTCTCACCTCTATTCTTCCAAGGTGATCAGTGCCCTTGGTTAGCCCACAGTGGGTGCAACACTCACCCGTACTGTCACATGAATTGCACAAAGGATCTGTGTAGTCCTTGTCTGAACACGGACCCCACAATAATGACTCACCCCAGACAATCAGGGAGCTCTGAGCCTTTGACACCACACACAGTGACTATCCAGAGACACAGCTACACCCTGTGCCCTATCGTGTAGTCAGAGTCCCTGTGGTTTCAGCACAAAAGGTTCTCACAGTCACAAGGTAAGAAGAAGGGTCCTCTCTGGCCGGCTAGTCTATCCCATCCACAGAGAGGCAGAAATGTTTCCAGAGCCAGCTGCCTCCGGTGCTCTGCCTTGGTGGTTTGAGCCCCAGAGTCTGTGATATGTTGAGAGGTTGTATGTGGGTACCCAACCACAGCTGTATGTGGGTGTCCAACCTCTTTCAATCCTCCCAGCCAGCCTCAAGGTCAATGGGAAACGTGGATTTTTCCCTCTGGTAAAATTCCTGGATCATATGTGTGCTCAAGAGCCACCACAGTCATTATTTGTGTCAAAATGTTGGCTTCTCTCCACTTGTTGCTGGGAGTGTATACCCTAGCTGCCTCAGGCAGCCACTACTGGTGTCAAGATGGTGCCCTTTCCCAGGCAGTTGCCAGGCATCATGTGGGCGGATGGGGATAGAGAATGTGCCTTTTTTTTTTTTTTGGCTGCATTAGGCATTTATCCTGTTACCCTAAGGGTTCCAGGCTGGACTCAAAAGGCAGTGCATCCAACTAGGCTCTCCCTCTGGCTATATCACTAGTGGTACCAGCTCTGCTGCATTCTGCTCTCACAAGCTGGTGTTTTCGTCAGCTCTTGGCTATGGGGACCCTGTGTTTCGTCTGGCTCTTATCTGCACTCATTTCTGTGTGTTTGCACCTTTCACGCTGATCCATGGTGTCCCTCTTCCTTCTGTAGAATTTCCACTGCCGATTTCTCTGCTACTCTTCCCTGGGAATGCACTTCCTCCACTTTTTTTCACTACTAGATTCCCCTAGCTTAAAGCAGTGTGTCCTTTCCCTATCCCATCTTCTTTGAATCCCCAGGGGTTTAAGGTCTTCTCATATGCATGGATTTCAACGTTTCTGCACCAAAAATAAACATTTTTAAATTCTATTTTCCACAAAATTTTTGGAAGTACCTTGCAATATAGTAGTATGGATACACAAAACTTGATTTAACCATTCCTAGGTTAATGAATTTAGGACAGCTCAAATTTTCTAGTATTACAGATGATCTGTGATTAGCATTCCTGTAGGTAAATGTATATGTACCTGCTTGAATAGTTTGAAGGAAATTGTTCTAGAAGTAGAAATGTTAGCTCAAATGATATTAATTTCTAACCTTTTGATAAGTACTGCCTAATTAATTGTACATATGGTGCTAAGTTTCTATTCCTAGCATGTGAGAGTGTCCTTCATCTTAAACCCTGGATAACCAACATATTTTTTAATTTTTAAAAAGTTTGTTAATTTGAATAGTGCAAAATGACATTTTGTGGTTAGTTTGCCTTTCTTTAACCTTTACACAGCTTTGCTGTCTTCTTTTAAAGTTGTGGTAAATTGTGTATAATGCAAGTTGAATTAAGTACATTCACATTGTTGTACAACCATCATTACTGTCCATGTCCAGAAATATTTCATCTTTCCAAACTGAAAATCTGTACCCAGTAAACACTAACTCCTCCATTCTCCATCCTCCTAGTCCCTTGTTACCACTATTTTAATTTCTGTATGAGTTTGCCAATCTAGGTAACTCATATCTGTGGAATGATTACAATGTTTGCTTTTTTTCTGGCTAATTTCATTCATCATAGTATTTCTAAAGTTTACCCATGCTATAGCATATATCAGAAATTCATTCATATTCCATTGTATGTAAATACAACATTTTTATCCATTCATCATTGTTAGATAAACGTTTGAGTTGCTTCCTTTTTGCCATTATGAATAGTGGTGCTACAGACACCTAAGTGTCGCTCCCCCTCTTCATGGAGGAACGACACAGGACCCTGCGTTGTTCTTTTGTCTGCTCGGCCCTTCCCGGGTTTGCTGCTGGTTCTTCCCGGGTTGGCTACCGTCCCTTCCACCTCCGTGGAAGGGCGGTTCCCCCTGGCCACTTTCCCCACTTTTGCAGGGGAGCGGCACACCGCCGGCCGGCTCTCTCTCGGGGGCTGCACAGGTGTTCCTCTTAGATGTTCCCCAGTGCATGTTGTCTCTCTCCTCCTTTATAGTCCTCTTCCGCCAATCCCAACTCTGCTACCCACACGCCGAGTATGCTGCTCTCCTCCAATCAGGAGCAGGATCAGCTCCTGGAGGTCATCACTCAAGTTGGCAAGAGGCAGCTGCGTAGAAGCTGTTTCCTCCTCTCCCAGCGCCATATTGTGGGAGAGCAGATGCATAGAATAAGTCTTAATTCCAGTAACTTAGTCTAGTCCGAGTTGCTCCCCACACTAAGTATATAAGTATCTTTTAAGTTTGTACCTACAATTGGAAATATTGGATCATAATGTCATATATTTAACTTTTTGAGAAATTGATACACAATTTTTCATATTAACTACATATTTTAAATTCTTTTTTTTATTTTTATTTTTTGACAGGCAGAGTGGACAGTGAGAGAGAGAGACAGAGAGAGAAAGGTTTTCCTTTTTCTGTTGGTTCACTCCCCAGTGGCTGCTGAGGCCGGCACACTGCGCTGATCCGAAGCCAGGAGCCAGGCGTTTCTCCTGGTCTCCCATGAGGGTGCAGGGCCCAAGGACTTGGGCCATCCTCCACTGCACTCCTGGACCACAGCAGAGAGCTGGACAGGAAGAGGAGTGACCAGGACAGCATCCCGTGCCCCGACCGGGACTAGAACCCGGTGTGCCGGTGCCATAGGTGGAGGATTAGCCTATTGAGCCGCAGCGCCGGCCTTACATGTTTTAAATTCTACACAGTACTATACAAGTGGTCCATACAGGCCATCTTATACTACATGTATATATTCTGTTTGAATTTTTTCTTCTTGGTTGCTTATTTGTATGATTTGTCCATTTCCCTATTAATGTGTCTTTGTTTTCTTTTCTCCTTCCTTCTATGTCTCCTTTTCTTTATTGATTTTCCAGAAATTATTTGTATTTTATGGGCATTAAAAATTTTGATATGAACACTTCTTCTGCTTTGTCATTGGTCTTTTTGTTTAATGATTTTTGTACTCTACAGATTTTTAAGATTTGTAATCACACAGGTTTTTGTGGTTATTTATTCTGTGCTTAACCTTGATTTCATGCTTCAAGAAGTGTTCCTGACCTTAAGATTAGAAAAACAATCCTCTTGTTTCAATTTTGCTACGTTATGGTTCACTCTGCCTTGACAGTGTCAGATAAGGAACACATCCTGGACTCTTCCGGAGTGGAGAACCAGTGGTGCAGCACATTCACTGTACAATCCATCCTTCCTTTCCCCCATGGTTTTGAAATGCTGACTATATTATATGTTAATTTTCATATATAATTTCGATCCTTTCATTGATATATCTATGTGTTCCTGGCCATTATCACCATTTTCATTGACATTCCTAGTTAGACTAGGAAATTTCTGGAAAAATAAGCTCCCACAATCACTCTAGAAGGTCTGTTTTCAGAATTCTCTAATCACCTGTCTCAACATCTCTTCCTTCCTTAACACCTCTGTCTCAGTGTTTTGTAAGCTTGAAGGCAGACATCTATGCTTGACTTCAAGAGAGAAACACATTTTAGTTCTTTAGAAATTGTTTCTATTGTTTGCATACATGATGCAGGAAAGCACTTTTCTTTCAATGACCTCACCTACACTGTTTTGGTACTTGGATTGTTTCTTGCAATGAGCCATTGCAATATCCCAAGGTTAGTCTCTACCATTCAACCATGGAGGATTCAAAGAAATCAGAATTAAGGGGTACAATGACCAATGTTAAATGAGAACAGAAGTCTTTATTGTTGGTAATGCATTTCCTTCATGGGTTCCCCTGAGACTTGCAGATAGTATACACATAAACATCTCAGCTGTGTCCTTTCTATTGCAAGACACATTAGAGAAGACTGAAGGATTTTCTTAATCTTTTAAAATCGACATGAATAAGTTAGGTTATATTCTATCTGCTAAAACTGTCACAAAACATACTTTTATGTAGGTAAAGCAAACTCCTTTGATGGTACTTACCAATGCAATTACTTTATCACTTACAATCCTTTTATCTATGTTGAAAAGCTTCCCTGAAATTTTAGATTATTCTGAATTTATTCAACACAGGAGATTTCCATAAACTTATAATTATTTTCTCATTAGAAATAATGAGTTTTGATTCTACTGTATCACTCCTTCTTGTGGAGTAGTTCGTAAGAAGAAAAATTTTGTAGTTTATTTTATGGATAATTGTCAGTTTACTATGCATGTGGGGTAGGTATAATTTTCAGGGACTTAGATGTTATAGTCTAAATTTGTAGCAAACCAAAAACCAAGTCAGTCAATTTTATTATAACCCTATATTATTTGTGACATGTTCCTATTACAGGGATCAAAGTCAAAATGATGTGATAAATTTCTTCTTGCTTTGATGTTGAGTCAAAAGCTGCTTGATTTAAGTTTCAGTTTTTTCATCTAGAAACCTGAAATAAAAGAATGTAAAATTAACTTTCATATTGTGTTAGAAAATAAAAAAACCCCACTTGCTTTGAGAGATATTTTGCCCTCTGTAATCTTCAGACACAACTTAAAGATTTAAAATACTTAAATTCATATGGTATTTAAAAGGAAATATGTGATTTTTTTTAGAAGAACCAGTATTTTGGTGTTAACTTATCAAGTGCTGAATGAAACTACTTTTGTATTTAGAGACAGAGTAAACTCAGTATCTGGCCAGTTCTGCGGCTCACTTGGCCAATCCTCTGCCTGTGGCGCCGGCACACCGGGTTCTAGTCCTGGTTGGGGTGCCAGATTCTGTCCCGGTTGCTCCTCTTCCAGTCCAGATCTGTGCTGTGACCCGGGAAGGCAGTGGAAGATGGCCCAAGTGCTTGGGTCCTGCACCTGCATGGGAGACCAGGAGAAGCACCTGGCTCCTGCCTTTGGATCAAGCGTGGTGCCCTGGCTGCAGCACACCGGCCGTAGCGGCCATTTGAGGGGTGAACCAACGGAAAAGAAGACCTTTCTCTCTCTCTCTCTCTCTGTCTAACTCTGCCTGTCAAAAAAAACAAAAAACAAAAACCAAAAAACAAAAAAACACCTCAGTATCTTGTACAAAGTAGGTGTTAGTAGAAAATACCTGTTGAATTCTTCCAAATATTCTGTGTTTTGAATTTCACTTTCTTCTGTGGATCTTCTAGACTCTCCTAAAGAAAAAAGATATTTAAATTTAATGGACAATAGGCATAAGTGATAGTGGGAATCCCATTTCAGGGTATCCATGTGATAAGGGTGTATGTATCATCTGGCTGATTGTATGATCCAAACATGGCCACAACAATGTCTCACACTTCAAATGTTCCTCTTCAGCATGACCCTGTCAGCCCCCAACCCCTAAGGAAAAAGTAGAATCTTATTTATCTCCTCCTCAAATTGGGCTAGGCTTTGAGCTCTTTTGCTATCAACAGAATGTGCAGGAAGGGACTCCAGGATATTCAAGGGAAGATCAGCAATGGGTATGCAGCCTCCACCTGATGTCCTTAGCATGCTTGTTTTGCAGGACACAGGTCACTGGATAAGAAGTCCTAGAACCCTGGGACTTCCATGCTGGAAAAGCCATAGATGCATATGCTAATAGATGGTACCAATCTTGCAGCCATCCTCACCAAGGGTGCAATCTGTAAGTGAAGCTGTCTTTGATCTTCTAACCATCCCGTCAGATGAGTACCACTTGCTGACCTCAGTTGATGCTCTTCCTGAATTCCTAACCCACAAAATTCTTGTGATTTAATAAAATGGCAAATGGAAAGGCCAACTTCTGGGGTAAGATGACTTGTTCAAACAACTCAGGAGGAAAGTTATATACTTTTCTTGGAAGGGAGGAGAGAACTTCCACTTTGCTTCTGACCCTGTCTAAACACCAACAGATTGTGGACTCAAAAGGCTTCCATAGTCTTGGCAGCTCTTGGCAAGAGCCTCGGGTGATCACTGACATCGTAAATAATCAACAACAGGAGTCACTGTAGGACCTCTGTCCTTAATGAGTTGTACTATGAGAATTAACTGTAAAACTTGTTTTCATACAGTACTTTATACTTTATGTGTCTGTGAGGATGCAAATTGTGGAAATCTTAGTATAGAGTTGGTCTTCTGAATACAGAGTTAATTAAAAACAAATGTTAATGAAGAATGGGATGGGAGAGGGAGTAGGAGGTGGGATGGGAAGTCAGGTATGAGGGGGGTGAACTGCTATATTCCTAAAGCTGTACCTATGAGATTTGTATTCATTAAATAAAAGTTTTCTAAAAAAAAGTTGAAAAGGCAAATAAATAAATAAATAAAAAGAATATCAGCAGGAAGTCAGGGACCAGGTTTTTGGTTCTGATTTTGCCACTAATGAGCTGCTTAATTTTGGACCAATAGTTTAACTTCTCTGGGTCTCAGTATTCTGCTTTATAAAATGAAAGGGTTGTGGTAAACAAGGTTTTTCTCAGCTCCAAAATTCTATGAAAACCTTAATTGGAAAGGTTTAAAAATGGAACAAAATAAATTGAAACGGTTATTGTATCATGTAACACTGAAAAAAAAGAAAGTTACAGAGCAATGTATGTACCCAAATAATGAAGTCAAATAGAGAAAGTTTATATATTTAAACAGACATGTTAATTTGATACTTAACTTTCATATCTAACCTTTTTCTTTTTTTATTTGGGGTTTGTGTGTGTTGGAGGGAGACGGATCAAGCGCTCATCTACTGGTTCACAGTTCTCTTTCCAAATGCCCTCAATGACTGGGGCTGGGCCAGTTTGAAGCCAGGAGCCAGAAATTCAGCACGGGTCTCCCATATGTGTAACTGGGATCCAAGTACCTGAGCCATCACAGGCTGCTTCCAATGGTGCAAATTAGCAGGAAGCTGGAATTGGGAGTGGCACGAGGACTCACACCCAGGTACTCTAATATGATTTGTGGGCATCTTCACTGTTAGGTCAACCCCTGAACTTTTATTTTGACTTGAATCCACTGGGACCACAATAAGATGCTCTGTATCTCATAATGACAGGCCCCAGCATTCAAGCCAACTCTTCCAATTTCCTGAGTTCTATTTTTCATAAGGTTCTAGTTATTTCCTATTATGTTCCCATTTCCCATACACTGCAACTCTGGAAACATCTCCACTGTATCCTTTGGAATTTTTGATCCACTATTGGCAAAATACTCTGCTTTCTGAAATTTTTAAACTTTTCTTTCTGTGACAGAAATCGGTCTCTCCTCGAAGGGAAAAACCAGCCCACGAGCTCTTTGTGCTTGTGTTTCTCTCTGCCTTCTCACTACCGGACCTGGAGATGCTAAGTGACCTCTTCCTCTCTTTTGCTCTTTCTGGACAGTCACCCTCTCTGTTTCCCAGCATCACACTGTACAACCAATCATTGGTCACCACTCTTTCTTTGATTCTATAATTTGCCCGTCATCACTGCTGCTTTCTCAATCTAGAAATCTCAACGTGCATGCAGGTTATTGCGCCCCTAAGTCTCAATTCCTTGAGCTCCTATTCTTTCAGTTTGTTCCTTCACCTGCCATTTATTTCCCTAGACACAGATCTTGTCATTGCCAGTTGCCACTGCAAGCTGCCCTCAATCTGTTGCTTGCATTTGATTACTTGACTGTCTCCTTTTATTTTCCAGATCTCTCTCTAGGGCTCCAACTCTAGCATTCCTTCCACCTCATTGTGAGCTCCTATCCTTCCACTTCTTTGTTGTTCTTTCTTATTCTGAAGTCTCTTTCTCTCTTCATAGAATTTAAATTCCATAATCACTCACTCCCTTGCAAATAGCTTAGACTTTACTTTTCTTCACTTTGTCATGCTCACTTGATAAAGCTGTAACCCCAGTTAAATCCAACTGTCTGCCTGTTCCTTTCCTGCAACATACAGCTCAATGTGGCTGGAGAAAATACACAAGAGGCTGAGAAGCCTCACTTTCAATTTCATGGCTACGCACATTAGGTGGACCCTTAATGCTTTAAGGCCATCCTGTTAAACACCCATTTTCCCTTCATTCTTCCATTCTGCTAGATATCTTTTATTTTTTCTCAAACCTTAAACTCTCTAAATGAATCGTTATTCTCAGCTGATGACTTATTCTCTAATTTCATAGAGAAAATGAATATAGCAGGAGGGGACAGGTGTTTGGTGCAGATGTTTGATCTGTAGGACTTCAAGGAAGCTGGAAGACCAGGACCAACACCACTCCAACAAGAGAACCCAGAACCAGTGAAAAGCTGGTATATGATATTTGCTTATATAGTCTGACATTTCAATAGAAACTGAAACTTCTCTGTCATTAATGGTAAAGACATTCTTATGTGGAAGATTCTCTCAAGCAGGCAACAAAGGATACTATTTACATCATCATGTGGCCTACACTGCATTGAAACAATGGAATAAGCCAGGGGATGCTGAATTGCCACAAACCTATTGTCTTCTTCCTTTATTTGTAAACCATGACCATGGTATGAAATACAGTATTATATATAAATGAGATTTCTAAAAATGTCTGTAGAAGAGTATGAATTGATGTGAAGGAGATACTACCTACTAGTTTTTCGACTGGAAAGGTGAATGCATTTTTTTTAAGTTTTGATGTGCAAAAACATTTTTAGTGGCTTTATTTTAGAAAAGGGTAAATAATAACTCATACATAAAGGTTGTGTCAGAGTTTATAGACTAGACCTCTGGTAATGGATTCAACCTTTTCACAACAAATCAAAAGTATTGGTATATGCTCACATGAATATACAGTGGTCATTACCTTAAATTTAAAACTCGCTATAAGCAGCAAACACATAGAGCAGAATATGAGGGCTGTATTGTATCAGTGTGGTCTGCAGAGAATTTCTCCATATGGTTTTTGCCTTGTTGAAATATAGGTTGCAGTTCAAAGCTAAAGGGATTACTTTTGAATAGTCATCACAGAGGTTGATTACATTCGTATATCATATTTAGCTGGACCCTGCAGGCTATTATTCCATTAGCTATGCTGCTCCTGCCATTGTCAAAAAGTTGATCACCTCGTGTTAAAAGACTGTGATTTCTTTTGGCCTTATCAAAATGACTCAAAAGGTTTGTTAAAAAATAAAACTCAGATAACGTTTTATGAAACTGATTCAGAGAAACTACTAGGTATGAAAATGTTCATATCTTGTGGGTGATCTTAGCACTCTGCCATTATTGATGATGAGATGATATTTTGCTTTTGTGTTTCAGCACATTCTGCTTAAAGTCATAGATTCAATTTTAGTAGAACTGATACTTCTTTCTCACTGATGGTAATGTCTCAGAAACGGATTTCTGAAAAAAAGTACAAAAATCTCTCCTTTCCCCAACAGATATTTCAAACATATAACATTGATGCCACGGAAGGAAGCCTATCTATGATGGCCTAATTACAATATGATTTTACCAGACCACCTGTAAAAGAGAACAGAGATTTGTTTTGAGGAAACATGTATATTTGAAGACAGTTTGTCATTCACACTTAATAACCAGAAGATAACTTCCAATAAATAGACGGAAATGTTTAACTCCTAATTCTTTTTTTTTCTTTTTTTCTTTTTTTTTTTTAATTTATTTAATGAGCATAAATTTCCAAAGTACAGCTTCTGGACCACAATAGCCTCCTCCCACCCCGTGTCTTCCCTCCCATCCACAACGCTCCCCTCTCCCACTCCCTCTCCCCTTCCCCTTCACATCACAATTAATTTTCAATTATCTTTATATATAAAAGATCAATTTAGCGTATGTTAAGTAAAGATTACCACATTTTGCTCCCACACAGAAACATAAAGTGTAAAATACTATTTGAGTACTAGTTATAGCATTAATTAAACACCTAAGAGTAATTGTGTATTAATTACAGAGCTCAACCAATAGTTTTAAGTAGAATATAAAATGCATCTTTTGCATTGTTGTGGCTTCCCCTCGACCTCACTCCCTCCCGTGGCCCTCCCCTCACCCACTTCCTCTCCCCTCCCCCCCTCTTCATCACGTTTCATTTTCGGTTACCTTCATATACCAAAGATCAATTTAGTATATACTAAGCAGGGATTTCAACAGGTTGCACTCACACAACCGAACCAGGTATAGGGTATTGTTCGACTAGTAGTGTTGTTTTTGAGTTTCATAGATAAACATATTAAGGACAGAGATCCT